GCAAGTATCGGCATGGCGCCTTATGAAGCTCTGTATGGCAGAAAATGCAGGTCTCCTATCTATTGGGGGGAAATAGGAGATAGACAACTGGTAGGGCCTGAGTTGATTCAAATCACATCTGAAAGGTTCCTATCATTCGGGACAGGATTAAGACAGCATTTGATCGGCAGAAGAGCTACGCTGACCCTAAGCACAGAGAGGTGACATTTCAAGTGGGAGATTTGGTCTTTCTGAAGGTATCTCCTATGAAAGGTGTTCTCCGTTTTGGTAAGAAAGGAAAACTAGCTACGAGGTATATTGGACCGTATCCTGTAGTTGCAAGAATTGGAGAAGTGGCTTACCAGTTGGACATGCCTAACGAGTTTTCTCATGTACACCCAGTATTTCATGTGTCCATGCTACGGAAGTACGTTCCTGATCCATCTCATGTGTTAGAGCCGTAGAGCCGCAGGAGATTCAGGTGGGGTGAAGATTTGACGTATGAAGAAGTACCGATTAGTATTCTCGATTTTCAGAATTCGTTTAAACTTCGGTTCTAAGGAGATTCCTATGGTTAAAGTCTTTATGAGAAATCACTCGATGGAGGAATGCACATGGGAAGAAAAAAAAAAAAAAAAAAAAAAAAAAACAAAAAAAAAAAAAAAAAAAAAAAAAAAAAAAAAAAAGAAAAAAAAAAAAAAAAAAAAAAAAAAAAAAAAAAAAAAAAAAAACAAATCACAGGAATGGTGGAAATGGGGACACGAATTTATCTTCATCGAAGGAGGCCTCAAATAACTTTCAAGCGCCTACCGCTGCAATTGCTAGAGTAAACGATGTATTCTGGGAACAGTCCCTAAGCCTGGCAATCGAGAGCCTGCTGTGCTTCGGTAAATGATGTATTATGGGCCGTGCTGCTACAGTAAAAGATGTATTCTGGGAACAGTTCGTAACTGAAAGAATTTATTTATAAATGAATTTTTCATGTTTTTTTTCATGTTTAGTATGTCTAGTCGTAATTTGATTTAAGAAATTCAATTGAATTTTTTACAAAATTATGTTTAGAATTATTCTTAAATAAAAATTTATTTGTCTTAGTTACTGAAACAACCCGAATTTTTATTTTCAAAAGTTATTCAATTAAATTTAATGAATCGACAGCCTGGAAATTAATATAAATATTTTAGTGTGAATACTATGAGAAACCGAACTGAAAATGAGAAAGTCGAAAACCATTGAAAACCAAAGATTTGGGCCGAATCGGACCGAATCGAACCGGTTCGACCCAAACCATCTAGAATTTTCTTCTTCCTCTTTTTTTCTCCAGCACATGCCTCATCTCTCCTCACTCACTCCCTACGTCTCCAACCACCCAGCAACACCACAGCGCCACCACCCTTCTTCTTCTTCTTCTTCTTCTTCTTTTCTTTCTTTTCTTTCCTTTCCTTTCCTTTTCTTTTCTTTTCTTTTCTTCCTTCTTCCCTACTGTTGTGCTGCGCTTGCAACGTTGGAGCAGATCGACCACCGCTCGCCACTGCTGTAGCTCGTCGCCGCAAGTCGCACCTCCACAGAGCAGCTCCACGTCGCGCCGGCAAGCTCAGATCGCGACTACTGCTCCTCTGTCGCGCCTGCAGCAGCACCACAGCCCTGTCAAGGCACCACTGCCACTGCTGCCGCTCCAGCACGTAGACCGGTCACCTCCGCCGGCGTCACAGCAGCTCTGCCGCTGCTCCAGGGCACCTCCGGCCACCAGCCTCCACCTGCTCTTCACTCCGGCAAGTGTAGCCTCCATTTCCGGTCAACTAATTCCAGCATCTATTTTTTTAGGTATAATTAAATAGATAATTAATTTTAATAATTTTAGATAATTAATTTAATAATATTAGATAGTTAAATATATTTTAGTTAATTACTTTAATATTAATAATGATAGTTAATTAAATTTAGTTAGTTTAACTTTAATAATGTTAGTTGATTTAGTTGATGTTAATAATGTTAGTTAATTAAATTAGGTTTATTAATTGTAGTTAATTAATTTAGTAATGAATTAATTTTATTATTTGTAATTAATGAGTTTAGTTAAGTTAATGTTAGTGATGATTAGTTAATTAAATTAAACTATTATTTTTGTAGTGAATTAACGTTGTGATTAATTTAATTTGGTTAATTTGAGTAGTTAAAAGTTTTATAATTTAGTGTTGATTTAATAAAGATAATTAAATATAATGTTATTTGTAATATATGATTTGGATTGTGTTGGTGATGTTGAGATTTGATGGAGGATGGAATTTGATTGTTTGGATTTGCCCGATGGATGGGCTGTTGTGATTTGGAAAATATTAGATATATTGTTGACATTTTAACAGGTAGATAGGCAATTTTAGGAGATGCTTAAAATAAATTTTGATAGAAAATAAAATAAATTTTAATAGAAAATAAAATAAGAAATAAAATATAATTCAAACGAAAACAAATAAAATAGAGCTAGATAGAAAGATAAAATTTTAGTACAGAAAAGAAATTAGATATCGAGATTAAATTACGTAGAAAAATTTAGAATATAAAATAAAATTCTTAGAAGGGTAAGGAGATATTTTGTCTGATATAATTATTTCTTTTTGTGTCATTCTTACTTTGCTTAGATCGCCCAGGTCCATCTAGTGCTCCTCCAGGACAGAATCAAAGCTAGGACTTCGCTCTCCCTCACTGTGAGTAATAATAAATAATGCATATCAACATTGCATTTGCATAGTAATTATTTCCTAAATATATATTATGTCACTGTTACTATATAATTATATTTATGATTGTACATTTGGATGTATTTGGTGTATTACTTTGAAAGCATTGTTTGATTACTTGTGCTGTGCTATACGTTGCCTTGTTTGTGTGGAATTGGGATGAAGTTTGTGTGGAATTGGGATGAAGTGGACCACCAGGGGTTTGTGAGGACGGTCTGTGATATGGATCCGGTTATGATATAATACTTGACCGTTGGCCGGGAAAATGGGAAATCGGCGCCCCCTTGTGCACCTGATGATTTAGATTATATGGAGATTCACAGGATGGCTTCTTGTTGTTGCGCACCTGACAATCTAGATTTGATTGTAGCTCGCAGGGTGGCCTCCTGTTGTGAGCACTTGACGATCTAGATTGGATGGAGACCACCGAGTTGCCTCCTGTTGATATGGAAAAAAAAGGGAAAGAGAGAATTGGGAAAAACAATGAGAGGACTTGGTCAGTGGGTTTAGGACCAGTTGGCCGTATGGGGATCGGCTCCCTGGTGCACATGTACGAGGAGGGCGAGCCATGTGGAGGACGGCTCTTGGGTTTCAGGTTTCAGGTGGTGCCACTGACTAATTTCCACTTACTTGATTACTTGAAGGTGACATTACTTGTGGGTGCTAGTGTTGTGCCATATGAATGACTGCAGTATGCTCATTTTAAAATATTAGGGTGCATTTTGCGTGACTGTATGTGGTGTGTATTATTTATTATTATTCACTGAGTTGCAAAACTCACCCCCCTTCTCTCCGAACTTCTCAGGTAGTAGGAAATTGCTGATCCAACTGAAGCTCTGTCATTTTCTTCGCGGAGCTACAAAAGTAAACTTATAACTTTTGTTATTATAAGTTGAGAATTGTATTATTAATTTCATATACTACTCTAGTTTCAAATTATTGTTGAACTCCGCAGTTGTAGGGTTTTCAGTTGGGCCTGCCGTATGTGTTACCTTATATGTATGGTTTGTTATGTTATTAGATGCAGGTGGACCAGTATGCCATATTATGAATGTGATTGATTATGATTAGACCCAAACTAAACTTGTTTGAGATAATTAAAATTGGGCCGAATTATGTAAAATTTATATCCTATCTTGTATGGGCTTACTGTTCCTATTGAATGATGTGCTATGCTTGAGTTGAGTGGTTTAGGTTTACTATGGGCCTCGGGGGCCTTAAGCTTACCTTACGGGCCTCGGGGGCCTTAAGCTTACCTAGGCCCTAGTGCCGGTCCGGCCCACGGAAATGGGTCGTGACAGTTACTCATATACTCCCCTCTCCCAAAAGTTTTTGCATAATAACTAAAAAAATAATTAAATCTCTTAAATTATAACAAAATCAAGGATAACATTGGAAATACATCATTTATTACTCTTTAAAATACTTACCGAAGGTGGACACTAATCCTTCTTATACTGGAGTACGATTATGTTTAAAGTTTCAAGATGCCAGCTCCACAATTCAATCATGTGATGAGCATAATGGATTTAGAGTACCTTAACCATTAGAAGAAGCCATCTTGGATTGGTAGTACAAAACTTTAGTATTATGCATAGTTAAGTACTATGGGGTATGTTATGGTGTAAGTAGTTAGGTATTCAATCTCTCATTCCTAATAGCTTTAAATAAATGTTCTCAGAACAAATATATCAAAGACACTGAAACGTTAATCATTAATTTAAGGAAGAATTACAATTCAATCTCTCTAATTTACTAAGATTTATATTTTCAAAAACTAATTTAATAGTCCCTCTAATTTACTAACTAAGATTAACTTCATGCAACTATTAAAGTCCTTTCTGTTAATTTTTCTATAGTACAATTTAATGAAATATCGATTTTACCCTCCAAAGAGCTGCAAATTTTATTTTAACAGCCATCACCATGCATATCAACCTCATTCTTGCTGCTATGATCAACATTGTTGTTACCAATTGGCTAATCTACTTCAAAAACACTTTTATCTTTCAATAGCCAGAGAAAGATTTTCATAAGAAATTAAAGTTTTTATAACAATAATTATCAGCAGCAGAAAGGCAATTTATGACATGCCTGTAATGTAGCTGTTGCAAACTTATTAATTGCACACCAAAGTCACTTAAATAAACTAAATAAATAAATAAATACACATTTTCCATACTTTGTTCTGCAATTAATATACATATAGGAGGGCCATACATTATTAAAACGAAGAAAGAAAAACTCTTGCTGTTTATAATTAATATATATATACGTATACAATCTCATTGATTTTTCGTTTCAGCTTGACCTATTCTGTTCTTGCTTTTTCTTTAATTTATTTGATAAACTCCCCAAAACAAAAAAGAGATGGTTCGATCTCCTCGCAGGGAAAAGGGAGGACTGAAGAAAGGAGCTTGGACTCCTGAAGAAGACCAGAAGCTCTTGGCTTGGATAGAACAAAACGGCCATGGAAGTTGGCAAACTTTGCCTGTCAAAGCTGGTGACTTGATTAAAAAAATAATAAAATAAGATTATTCTACTGATAAAAAAAAAGATTGACATGTTTTTCATGTATGTTTGATATATATAGGATTGACATGTTTTTCATGTATGTTTGATATGTATAGGACTCCAAAGATGTGGGAAGAGTTGTAGACTTAGGTGGACAAACTATTTGAGACCTGACATCAAGAGAGGAAAGTTCAGCTTGCAGGAAGAACAAACCATTATTCAACTCCATGCTCTTCTTGGAAACAAGTGAGATCATTTCTTTTCCACTTTTAAGTCTCTATGCTCTTCTTTTTGTATGAACTAATAATTTAAGAGCAGTTTGTTCTGGTTTTTTTTATTTATAACTGGTTATATTTGTTTTTTCAGCTTTTTTACAAATCACTTTTTATACAGAAAATAAAATTTTATTTATGTTTTCAAATTCAGTCTCATTATTATTATTATTATTATTATTATTATTTACATATCTGTTTTCTTTTTTTCTCTCTATTATTCATATTAAAAATAAAACTCGACGTATATTATAACTTTGAATTGGCTTAAAATATTTATTATAAGGTTATTTATATATGAATTTTTTTTTTATTTGCATCACTTGCTTATACAAATAGGTGCTCGAATTAGGGTAGATAGTACCTGGCTCACAGCCTCCAAAAAATTTACCTTCCCTCCAAATATAAATTTCAACAATTAGGAGTATCAACTCCAAGTTTCAAACCTCTTGCCTATCTTATATAAGATTTTATGTTCTAATTAGGCTAAAATTAGTTTCAAACCAACTATTTAGGCTGGTTGGAATTTTTAGAAAGACAGAGGAAAGAAAATGAAAGTGGAACATAACAAGGGAAAGCTAAATTCCCTTGTTTGGAAATTTGAAAGGAATGAAATCTTAACTATTTTCCATTGGATTCCATAAAATTGGAGTTCTCCAATTTAGAGAAAAAGCCTAAATTCATTATTATCTTCTCCCAACCTCAAAGATTTATAACAAGATATCAAATTGTAAATTTAAAATAACGACGTTTTTTCTTTTTTTATATATTTCCTTTCAATCCAAACATAAAGTAGAAAAAAAAAAAAGAAAAAATAAATAATATAATCATTTATTATTTTCTTGTCTTATTGTTCTTTCTCTCTTTTTTTCCTTTCATTTTTCTTGCCGACAAAGTGTCATATCTTAAAAACATACCAAGTCCGTCTTTTTTTAGCTGATAGTAACTAATCATTATAAGCTGCATATGAGAGACATAGACGGTGAGGATGGATTGGAAATTAAAAAAAGCGTCCTAACATGTCCCACTGATCAGACTATAACATTTCATAACTAGATAGTACTTACTATCATCAATGATCATTACATTCTTATTCCTCTCCATACATTATTGATAAGGCAAGCTAACATAGGAGCCATTTCTTTCACTCTTATACTCGTTTTCGTTTTCAAGTTTGAGATACTATCCCGAATTATTTGTCTTCTATTTATCATTCATGTCAATGCAAATCATATTTCTCCCTTTAAAAAAAATATCCTACCCTAGCGAAATTAGAACGAATTATTTGGAATCTTTATGTTACTTCTTTTTTTTTTTTTTTATAATAAGAGGAGGTATAATCTTTTACCTCGAGTTGTTCAACATAAAAATTTTTTATTCTTCCAGTAAAATCAGATCAAACTGGTTGATGGAACCATTGTGTTATTTTATTAAATATAACTCTAGAAATACCAAATTTTATTATCAGATTCTTTTTGCTAATTGTACTCAGGTGGTCAGCTATAGCAAATTACTTGCCTAAAAGAACCGACAATGAAATAAAGAACTACTGGAACACACATCTCAAAGTGTCAGGTCCTAACAACGTACGAAGTCCGTCTTTTTTAGCTGATAGTAACTAATCATTATAAGGTGCATATAAGAGAAATAGACGGTGATGATGGATTGGAAATTGAAAAAGAAGCACCCTAAGATGTCCCACTGACCAGACTATAACATTCATTACTAGACAGTAATTACTACCATCCATCAATGATCATTATCATTCTTATTCAAGCTAAAATAGGAGCCATCTCTTTCACTCTTATACTGTTTTTCAAGTTTGAGATACTATCCCGAATTATTTGTCGTCTTATCATTCATGTCAATGCAAATCATTTTTTTTCTTTTAAAAAAATATACTATCCCGAAACTAGAACGAATTATTTGGAATCATCATGTTACTTTTTTTTTTTTATTATTATTTTTTTTTTATAATGAGAGGAGGTATAATCTTTTATTTGAGTAGTTGAGCATAAAAATTTTTTATTCTCCCACCAAAATCAGATCAAACTTGTTGGTAGAACTATTATGTTATTTTATTAAATATAACGTGTCTATACGATACATGTATAGAAATACCAAATTTTATTATCAGATTCTTTTCGCTAATTGAACTCAGGTGGTCAGCTATAGCGAATCACTTGCCTAAAAGAACCGACAATGAAATAAAGAACTACTGGAACACACATCTCAAGAAAAGACTAGACAAAATGGGTATAGATCCAGTAACCCACAAGCCGAAAACCGACACCTTCGGCTCCACCACCGGCACCGGCAACTCCAAGAACGCTGCCAATCTAAGCCACATGGCTCAATGGGAGAGTGCTCGTTTAGAAGCTGAAGCCAGATTAGTCCGTGAGGCCAAGCTCCCATCAAATCCTCTCCATAACTCTCCATAACCAATTTTCTTTCCTCAACAAACCAACCACCAGTGACGCCGCTGCAGCTCCACCAGTTAGACCAAAATGCCTTGACGTGCTTAAAGCATGGCAAGGTATGCTTTCCGGCATGTTTTTTCTCTCTGGTGCCGGCAACAGCCTCGAGTCCCCAACTTCAACGTTAAATTTTCCAGAAAATGCATTATCTAGTGGGTTTAAACAGGAGAATACATTAATCATTCCTCAGCTTCAATTCACGTCTAGCAATAATAATACTGCAAGTAAAGGGGAAACGATTAATGAAGAAAATGAATGGAAATGCATGGAGCAAGCGAAAGAAACATTAATGGGTACCTCAGTGACAGTGCATGGAACTGGTACGTATGACAGTACTACTGATAACAACAATACATGGGTTATGGATACATTTATGGAAGCAAATTTAAATGTTAATGGGATTAATATTGTGGACGGACTTTCTGATATTATGGTTTATAACACCTCTGTTGATCATCACAATTCATCATCAATGGCCGAAGGAAATGCTACAAGTGAAGGGAGTATTATTTATCTTGATCAAGATCAGAGGTATTATTGGAATAGCTTACTTGATTTGGTGGATGCTCCGGGGGCTGCCTCCGGTTCACAGGTGTTTTGAATAAGGATGAAGCTAATATGAAGGGCCAAAGAATAAAATTTTAAATCAATGTAGGAGTTTATTGCAAAATGCAGTACTATTATTATCTCCGGGGCGTGCCTCGGGTTCCACAGTGTTTTGAATACAGGAGTCCCGAAGCTAATATGGAAGGGCCAAAAGTAATAAAATCTTTTAAATCAATGTAGGAGTTTATGCAAAATGCAGTACTATATTGATATGTTATATTGGTTGCGGATGTGGAATGTATTAGGTGTTGGGCAGTATATACCTTTTGATATAAAGTGACCTTAGTTGTGTTTTATATATATATCAATTTATGACACACTCTTCCTATAATTTCCAAGAAGAATAATAACCATGTGCATTCCTAACTTTTGCTTCAAGAAAAACCTAAGTAATTAAATATCTTTAACCGACCCGTTATGAATTGTTGTACCATTCTCCGCAGTTTAGGCCAATACCAAATTTTTTTTGATAGTTTTTAGGTTTATTTTACTATTACCAAAAATATTTCAAACTGTACTGTAATGTAGGTATGTCAATTATAGGGACAAATTGATAATTTTACTACTCCTATTCTACCAACTATAATCTAATAAATGCCCTCCGGTTCACAGGTGTTTTGAATAAGGATGAAGCTAATATGAAGGGCCAAAGAATAAAATTTTAAATCAATGTAGGAGTTTATTGCAAAATGCAGTACTATTATTATATGTTATTTTGCATGTAATAATGTATTAGGTGTGGCATTATATCACCTTTTGAATAAAGTGATTGTTTAGATATATATCAATTTGACCCTCTAATTTTCAGAAAAAACTTCATGCATCCTAATTTTGCTAGAAACCTAATATTATATCTTTAAAGTTATGAATTTTGGTGTACCATTCTCCGCGTTAGCAATACCATTTTTTTTGTGTTTTTGGTATTTATATACAAAATATTCAATGATGTGTAGTTATGTAATTTTTGGAATGATAATTTTTATTTTTTACAACTATCTAATAAATGCTTAATCGATCTAATTTTATAAGTTCGAATATTTAATAGAATAATTTTGCAAGTTGAAGTATTTAACATCTTCGAGTTAAATAAATAGTTTTTTAGAGCTGTGATTCCATATGATCATAAATTGATCACTTCCTCACATATATTTGTTGTAACAAATAAGATAATATAATAGTACTTTTTTTTCCCCAAGTAACTCTTTGCAACTGAAATTATATAGCAATGGGAATATCTCTTACTGCCTCTTCCAGTTGACATTTACTGAAAAGGGCATGAGAAAACACATAGACTTGTTCAGTGCATATGAGCATGTCGTGTCTGAGGATTCAGTTATGGACCATTGAAGCATAATCAACAAGGTAGTAAATTTCTATTTTCTTATGCATCCCCTTATTTATAAATTCTAACTTTTAACGTTCATTTCTTGTTCACGTTAACAGGGTAAAAAGTTTGCAAAACCAGTACTTAAATCGTGCATTGAGGAGTTTGAAGAGAAGCTTCATAAGTTCCTTATGGAAAAGAAGGAGCAGGCAGTGACTGCAAGAAACGTTGAAATTCATAGACAGAAAGTTGAAAACGTAGAACGTGTTGTCAAAGCTAGAAATGAGGGATTTCTCAGTCATTGATCCGTCCATGGAAGGGACTTCTCAGTCTTCGAATGAGGTAACAGAGGCAGATGGGACTGAGTTCAGTCACCAAAAGTGTTCCAAACAAAAATAAATGAATGAATAAATGATTTCACTTTTTTTTTTGGTAAGTAAAAAATTTATATAGAAAAAAAACTCTAACGGCCAAATGGAAACAAATCAAGAGGTTAGTTGGCAGATGGTCAGGGGCCAGCTACCTACTGCAGAAACATCACCAGGCATTGTTGACAGAATGCCCAACTGTAACTACCCTTCCAACAATTTGGCAACTGTATTTATAAATTTTAAATTTCCAATTGTTAAGGATGCAGCTAACCATCGGACAACAACTAGCCAAATCATAACTGCTATTACCACAGGCACATGACAACTCCTTCTCATATTGTAATCATCCAAATTATTGCTAGATTTTTATTCCCACTATTTAATGAAGGGTTATTATGGAATTATCAATTAGACTAATGAACATGAAACAAACTTTATTTTATTAAAATCGGGAGATATAATCCTTATGCGGAGCGTATAATATAAAGGTATTTGTCTCTCCTAATAAGTACACTTATCGGAATTCGAATTCGTATTATCAAGATTAAAATAATTTATCATCCAATTAATATATTATTAGTTAAAAAGATTGAATAGTTTGAAATTCAATTTTTTTTTTCTTTTTACAAAATAAATCAAATGAACTTTAACTTTGGCTGATGGTACTCTTTACTTGAATTACCTATTGGCTTCTGAGCAAGACAACAGAATAGGGTGTTTTTTGGGCATTTCATCTGCTTGACATACCGAAAATCTTTTGAGTCTCAATCAATTTAACACTCTAATAAAGTAGCTATATATTTGTTGTGGTGTTGTCCACTCAAGTGGGACCCACACAATTGAAAAGAAAAAAAAACAAAAAAAGAGGAAAACGTCAAAAAGTTGCCAGCCAACTATTTAAAAGTTGGCAACCAACCATGACATAAATGAAGAATCGTGTGTAACTCACACACGGCTCTCACATTACCTCTCCTATAAATAGGAGAGGATTTACTTCATTTGAGACACACAACAGAAACGAGAGAAAACAAAATGTAAAGAGAGATATCTAGTTTTAGAAAGATTTTCCTAAAATGAGGGGAGAGAAAAATAGTGAGGAAATTATTATGGGGTGTTTTTGGGAAACACTTTGTGTGTCACTATTTTTATATTACTCTCTTTGTGTACCTACTATTTTTAGAAAGATTTTCCTAAATATTGAAGGGAGGAGAGGAAAAAAATAATAAGTGTAGGAAATATAATTATGGAGAATTGGTGTTTTGGGATAACACTTTGTGTGTCACTTATTTTACTTATAACTTTTACTTGCGGTCTTGATAATGTATCGGGGTGTTTTTGGGAAACACTTTGTGTGTCACTATTTTTATATTACTCTCTTTGTGTACCTACTATTTTTCATAGTGGAAGAATGATTCGGAATTTGTCAGTGACGTAGCCCTAAACAGTTGAGGGTGAACCACGTAAATTTCTGTGCGTCACAATTTTACTTTTCCGCTGCCGTAATTATTTTCTCTTAATTCTTTAAAAGGGCCTAACAAGTGACATCAGAGCTAATGTCCAACAACTGGTATCAGAGCTGATGCCTAACAATATTATATAGCACGTACCACTTACTCTACTTACCCTCCCTCCAGGAGACTGTCACGCACGCACTCTCTCTCTCTCTCTAGAGAATGCAGGGAGGACATATGGCAGTTGAAGAGCCTGATCTAAGGTTCTCCTCAGTTCTAACTTCTTCAAAACCTATAAGATCTTTCTCTCCATCAAATGTGTATGCGCCACAGCGCACATTTAATTCTGGCCGATTAATTTAAGCTCTGAACCTTAATAAAAAACAAAGCACATCTAATTCTGGCTGAATAATGAACTTAAAAAAAAAAAAAAAAAAAAAAAAAAAAAGCACGTTTAATTCTGGCTGAATAATTTAAACTCTGAATTTTAATAAAAAAAATATCGGGGCTCTCCGAACTTTACTCTATTTTGACTGATTCAAATATGGTAAGTACTGTGGCCTTTCCCATGTGGTACAAAAAGTTTCCAGCATTGATTTAATTGTTTATGTTAGGTTATGTTATGTTGTGTGTTTTTAGCTCTCCTAGATGTGCGGGCAACTTCAGGTGCTTCAAGTGAAGAATCAGGGTTGAAAATTGCCCTTGATCATGGAAAATCTGTCGGATTGCTTAAGCGTAATGCCCAAATTGTTGTTTCCCAAAAAATTGGGGAATCATCAGTAGTGAAGATAGTGAAGTTTTATGCCTAGGCTTAGCTTGTTTTATGTCAACCCATTTGTCTCTGCCTAACGTTCTGCAACTTACTGTAATGGGGACTCTGCAATTCGAGTCTTGAACCCTCCATTGAGATGATTATGTTAGGTATTATCAGCAGGCATAGAAATTTGGAGGAAGTTTTTATGCCTTTTTGGAAGTTTTTATGCCTTTTTCTACTAATGATTTGTCACTTAAAAATTACTCAAATTTAACTGTTTCTCATTTTGATCACTCAAAATAGTTCCAATCAGTGGAATTGGAGAAAATGATAACATGAAACCTGTAATAATTAAAAAGAAAAAAAAAATTGAAAAAAAGGAAGAGCAGAAAGAACTTGTTTTTTATAAGTTGCGAGTGGTGTACAGGGATAATGAAGATTGGAGTAACATCACAATCCATAGTATAAACAAATACATTCTGATTAAGATATTAGCCATTGCCTAATACAGTAATAACACAGTATATAAGCCAATGGTTTTGCTGCATTGGCGGTAACTGATCCGATTTAAAAAACCAATCAAAAAACCATTTAATAAACCATTTGGTCCTGTTACCTTGCCGGTGCAAAAATATTGTTCAGCTTCCATCCTTGCCACCATATAATCCCTCAAAAAGGTGAATATTGTTGCCTGAATATGAAAGGCATGCAAGAAGACGCATTTTGCTATCTCCAGTTCATATTTCTTCCTCATCGAAAGGATCTCTTTCTGGATAGTCACCAACCTGGAAAATAACCATCATCTTAGATCCATAGAGAAAACATTATAATGTAAGAAATCTTCACGTGTTCTACATTCAAACCCCTTAATTTAAATGACATGGAAAATCATTTACATTTTCTGCATTCATTTCAAGAATATGCTTATAGAAGGCAGAAGCATAGCTACCTTAGGAATATCAACATCCAAAAGCACGTAGAATGAGGGCATAATTTCTGTCTCTTAAATTTGAAGGTTAAGGTTGATGTTTTATTTCATCAGTATTAACTGATACATAATCTAAATTTCCTGTGTACATACATGTTTAATGCCCCTAACTGTAGCAGAGTAATTTATGATGAGAGTATTATTACACGCTTAAGCATACAGGAGCGTCCTATGCCCCACTTTGTTGCAACCTTCAGCAGTTCAACCTAATGGTCTACATTTCTAACGCTGGAATTTGGATTTTGAAATGCATAAAATATTATTCCATGTGAATCACTATAGCAGATCGTAAAGTGGTCTAAATTTTTGTTCATTATTAACTCATAAGTGCCGACACTCAAGCAGTATGAGAACAGTTCTACAAACCTTTACTTTGTCAGGCCTAACCATGGCACCATGAAGTGGAGGACAATCAAAGTAGCGCACTCCTTTCACCCTAAAACAAGACCAGGAAACAAATAAAGAAAACACAAAACAGAATGATCTATGCAATTAAATGACGGAAAAAAAAAAAAAAAAAAAAACCTGTTCAAAAAAAAAAAAAAAAACCTGTTTCAAGTTGTTCATTGTTAACCCTAAAATTAAATACTCATTACATGTTGCAAATTAAAGTTTAAAATGTTAAAAAAAAACCTGTTCAAGTTGTTACATTGTTAAACCTAAAATTAAATACTCATTACATGTTGCAAATTAAAGTTTAAATGTTATCAATTTTCTTGAAACTTTGCCAAACAGATACTTATCATATTAATCTGCATATCTGAAATCAGATTTTTATCAAATAGATAATTTACTAAGTTAAGGCTTAAAAACTGTCAGCCTGAAAACCCTAAAAATTGTTTCAGTAATAAGTACATATATGATCAACAAACAACATTGATATCATAAAAGGCCTTATTGCAGACATTAAAAGATAGACCTATGGAAAAATTGAAAATTTTAGAATAATGAGAGAGGTTAATGTACACACATGCCATCATGTTTCCCCAATGGCTCATCATATTGAACTCCAACCCAAAAGCCAGGTGCAAGAGATTCAGCTCGACCGACAAATTTGACAACCCCTCTTTTCTCCCCAGGTTCAACTTCACATCTGTATCCCACCTATTTATTCAAGAATCAGGAAAACAGAAAGGTAAAAACAAAGGTGTGGCAAATTTAAGTGCACAAGAGGAAAACCTAACAGATATTTGATATAAGAAAGAAAAGAAATGAATGTAAGAGAAAATTGATATTCATTCTTTGCATTTTAAGAGAAAAACTTGAAAACTTATCCATAGATATCTGCAGTGTCAGAAATTTGCCACCACACCCATTCCTCACCCCATTGTGGCCTAAACCATGATGCTACCAACAATATGGTACAGATATAGAGACAAATGATATCATGGCAATTTACAAATGCTAATGCTCCAAAATCCAAAGAACACAATCTGAAAGATTCTGGAACCACAACTTTGACATAATTTCTACAAGACTTTCAACAATGATGCCATTAGTGATGCAGCTGATAGAGTAAAAACTGTAAATGACTTGAATAAATTTACAAATTTCCGCACATGTAGAGAAGCTTTTACAATATCTTGTAACACATCAATTTATATTAACTACAAAATGAGTACGATGCTTGAATCTGCTGCAAACAAAACATTGAGAATGTAGTTTCAACTATATGGACAAGAAATAATGCAATAGATGAGAGGAGATGGCTTAACTTAACAATAAATTACTGAATCATTTTTTCTTAACTTAACAATAAATTACTGAATCATTTTTTGAGGTTGTTTTCAAGATCTGCATGGCATGAATCATGTAATTGAAATGCAGATCTCTTTGAATGTTAAGAACCTCAAGTTAGGATGTATTGTTATTGATCAGTATACATATGGCTTCCATGCTTAAACAGTTCCCAGAACTATAAAGAACTAAGAAAATAAATAAAAAGAGAATTGCAAACCTTGATATTTGCAGACAGGTCTTCCATGTATCTGTCAGTTACCTAAAATGAAAGATGAGTAAACTAAAAATGAGTACAGCTGAGGGATTGTGCCCCCCGTTAAGGCATTCCTACTTACTTCGTTATTGAATGAAACAGAACAGAATAAAAAAGTTGTTCACCCCCTCAAAGCAAGGAAAACCTGAAGTACAGGAATGCCTACCTTAGGCTCAAAGGCTGATGGATTTTGAGAGACTATTTTTTCTTTGAATTTTCTGAAAGTGCCTGTAAAACACAGAATTAATAAACCTCTTGGCAAGTTAAACCTAGAATGTGGTTCCAATAATTATTCAGAACTTTCTTATACTCATAAGAACAAATGAAGCATCTCATAATAAAAGTTAGTGTAAATTCTTGAATATTGAAATCATGAGATGAACATGGTGAAAAAGATACAAGCATACAGTTAAGCTAAAAGTGCCAACTGCCAAGCATAAAAGAAACACAGTGATCAAACTCAATCCAAGTATAAAAAACCACCGAAGCCATAAGATTACTATGAAGCACCAATACTTCACACTTGTATATTTATATCTGTGTCAGACACTTCTTCAACACGTTTTCTACATGACATTGACACACTTCCATGGCTTGTCTCATATGTTCTTATTATTATTTATTTATTTCCATCGTTCCACTTTAATAGCAACATCTGATCTTTTCACAAGGAGTAAGAAAATGATTGGAACACATTAATTTTCTACAATTATATGGTAAAATGTCTAAATTGTCCTTCTTAAAATTAAAAGCTTCCCATTAAATTTTGCTACAAAACACCTTATAAATATGGATAAAATTGGGAAAAAAAATTAATATACTCTCAAAATCCTAAATGAGCACTTAAAAGTGGAACAAGGTAAAATGTCCATTTGTTGTTATTAACGTGGAACGGAGGAAGTATTTATTTTTGAAAGAATAGCTGTGTCAGCGTGTTCATATTATATCAGTGTTGTGTCTTTCCGTGCTTCATAGATTAGTAGCAAGCTACTTAAAACCAGTCAAGGTACTATGCTGCACTTAAACTCAAATTTTTGTAATCGCACAAATAGACTTTGCCCCTCAAAATACAGTATGATTAAAATCTCACCACCAAGTTTCTGTTGAAACAAACAACAGTAGAGAATTTACAGATTAAATCTTATGAGATTGATAGAGAATTCTAGCACATCTTTCATTGAAGAATACTGCAGAATTTATAATCTTTCAGTTGAAGAAATACTGCAGAATTATACAAGATGGAAATAACAAACTTCCTATTTAGAAGCCAACTCATAAGGTGGAGATAAAAACTGAATATAAAAATCTGGCAACTGAAGAGCTAAAAACAGCCACTAACTTAAGTCACTAACTCCACCATTTGATGCTTGTAAAAAAAAAGAAATAACAGAAAAATATTTAACATATGCTGGAATCTGAAATGCAGAAATCTAACACTCTCCTTGGCATTTCTCGGTGACAACCCATTCTTTTACTCAATCTTCAAATCTCTCCTTAGGAATGGCCCTTGGTAAAAAATGTCCTGCAAGCTGATTTTCAGATGAGCAATGTAAGTAGCACTTCGTTAGATTTGTTGAACTTCTCTGATAAAATGAAAACTTAATTCTGATTATGCTTCGTTCTCGATCCATGAAACACTGGGTTTTTTGGAGATTGAAACTGCCGAATATTATCACACAGATCTTTGGTAGCTTCTGTCTGCTCAGCACTGCAAATTTTTAGCAAATCTTCCTTAAGCCAAATTAGCCTGGTTTTACAGCCGAGGCAGCAGCAGATGTACCTTTTTCCCCTTTCTGCTTCTGCTGTTGATTGAGCTGTAGTTCTTGTTTTTTTGAGCTCCAACTGAAAAATTGTGCCCCAAGAAAATAAGTATCCAGAGTTGCCTTCTTTGAGTCTTCAATACAGCCCAATCCTGTCACAGTACAACACAACTTCAAACTCTTCCACTGCAACTGTGCAAAGAACACCCAAATGTGCTGGTTCTTTTTATATACCATTAACACCCTTTTGGCAAGCTGTAAAGTGGGTTTCCCTAGGCTGATTTGCATGAACCTTTTAGAGAGCAAACTTACAGCAAATAGAATGTCAAGGTCTGCTAGCTTGTAAGGTACAGAAGACATACCAATTAAACTTCTATATGAGGCTGGCATCTACTTTTTTTCAGCATTTTCATCCTTGCCCTTAAGCTTAAACCAGTAGAAAATTGGAGTGCTTACAGGTTTGCAATCTTTGCATTTTAAACTGTATAAAATATCAGAACATGTATTTCTGCTGACTTATAAAAAAACCATCATTAGTTTTGGCAGCACCTACATCCCAAGAAAGTAATTTCATGAAATTCCAAGATCAGTCCATCTCAAAGTCATCTCAAAGACTTTCTCCATTTCATCCTTGAACTTTTGAATGAGTTCATGTTTGCTACCTGTCACAAGCATGTCATCAACATAAATTGAAATAACTAAAAGCTCATCATCTGTATTTCTTACATACAAGGTAGCTTCACTTTGACTTCTGCTAAAGCCAAGTTGCATGAGATAATTGTCCATTCTTTCGTACCAAGCTCTCGGAGCTTGTTTTAAGCCATACAAAGCTTTCTTTAGAAGATAAATTTGATCTTCTTTACCAGGAATTAAAAAACCATCAGGTTCCTCTACAAAAATCTCTTCATTGAGAAACCCATTCAGAAATGCTGATTTGACATCAAGTTGGTGAATTTGCCATGAATTGTGAGCAGCAAAAGCAAGAAGGAGGAAGGAGTTTGATTGTATCATACCTTGCTACTGGAGCAAAAGTTTCTTGGTAATCCACACCATATTGTTGTGCATATCCTTTCACCACCAATCTGGCTTTATGCTTACAAACTGAACCATCAGAATTAAATTTGGTCTTAAAGACCCACTTTACACCAATCACCTTGCGATTTGCTTGCCTATCAACTAGCTGCCATGTCTCATTCTTGTTGATCATTTCTAATTCAGCTTGCATAGCTCTCCTCCATGCTTGAAATTCTTGTGCTTCAGCGTAGCTTCAGTGCTTCAGCGTAGCTTGTTGGTTCATTGACAACCAAGCTACACCTTTCATAAACGTCCTCTAAGGACTTTGTACCTCTCACCGGCAAGTCATCCACCAAATCATCTACTACAAGTTGAGGTTGCTCTTTTGGAAAGAGATTAGCATGAGTATCCTTTTGATTCTCCCAACACCAAACAGCAGCCTCATCAAACTTTACATCTCTGCTCAAATTTATTTTTTCAATTTTCAAGCAGAAAATTCTGTACCCTTTACACGATGAACCATAGCCCATGAAAATGCCTTTTTCAGCCCTGTTGTCTAGCTTGCTTCTTTTTGATTCAGACACTTGATAATAACATATACACCCAAATTCTGATATGGTGTACTGTTGGCTTGTGGTCATACCAAGTTTCATAAGGAGTCTTGTCTTGCAAAGCTTTTGTGGGAAGTCTATTTAATAAATAGGCAGAAGTATTGACAGCCTCTGCCCAGAATTGGTTTGGCATTTGTTTCTCAATTAAAAGGCACCAGGCCATCTCCATTACTGTCCTATTCTTCCTTTCAGACACCCCATTTTGTTGCAGAGTGTAAGGTACAATCAATTGATGTTCAATGCCTGCACTTTTACAAAATTCAGCAAACTGGCGAGAAGTATATTCTCCACCATTGTCAGATTTTAACGCTTTAATTTTAAGATTACATTGATTCTCTACTAAAGCTTTAAATTGTTTAAAAACATCAAAGACTTCACTTTTGAGTTTAATGAAATAAGCCCAACACATCTTGGTGCAGTCATCAATAAATAGGAGAAAATACTTGTTACCACTCAAGGACTTGGTTGTCATTGGACCACACACATCAGTGTGGACGAGTTGAAGTTTCTAATTTGTTTGAAATGGTAGCTTTGATTGCTTCCCTTGCTGACAGATCTCACAAACTTGAGTATCATAGGAAATTTCAGGCATATCTTCCACCAGACCCTTTTTGTTCATTTCAGCAATTGTTCTTTGATTGAAATGTCCAAGCCTTTTATGCCACAAGTTTGTAATTGAATGTGAAGCACTTGTGTAAGCTTGCTCAAATGCTTTCTCCCAATTTACCACAAAACTTCTATTTTTCATGTTCACACTAAATAATTCAACTCTAGAAGGATAAAAACTAATGCATTTGTGATCCTTAAAAAGAAGTGAATAATTTTTTTCATGCATTTGCCCAACACTTAACAAATTTTGGCTAATTTCAGGTATGTACAAAACATCAAGAATAGTTTTGATACCTGATTTTGTTAAGACATCCACTGATCCTCTTCCTTTGACTTCTAGGAATTCTCCATTTCCCACCTTTACTTTGGATTTGTAGGTATCATCAAGAGTCCTGAACATCTCTGCATCATCCCCACCTTTACTTTGGATTTGGTAAGGTTCATCAAGAGTCACTGAACTATCCTGCATCATTTGCACAAGTGATGATGCAAGCCGCTGTCGATAAGCCATGCATCAGAGAAGTCATCTCATTGAGAACCAAGTAACCTGCAAAAAAGTGCTCCTCACTGTGCATTATTTTTCGTCTGCCATTTGAGCTTGAGAAGGTTTTTTGAGCCTCTGTTTTTTGGATTTGCAATGACTTTGGATACAATGCCAACCTGTTAAACTGCCACATACAGCATCAGGCATCCACCAGCAATATTTCTCAAGATGTTGTTGTTTTTTTTGGCAAGTTTTGCAAGAAGGAATACGATTTCTTTGAAACTTTCCACTGCATTTTCCAGCATCCCGTGCTTGCCCTTATTTTTCTGGTTGGGATTGATGTTTCCTTACCTAGAGTTTTGCTTTTGCATAGAGAAAGCTCCTTCGGTGATCTCTCTGCCTCAATTCTTTCTTTGCTCTTGCGCTTTGAAGGGCAACTTCCATTAGTTCACTCTAATGAAATCCATACATTAGGTCCCTTGGACCTCTTCAAGAGAAGAAATCTTGGAATTCAAACCTCTCTGGAAGAGTCACAAGAACTTTCTCCACAATTCTTGTAATCTGAGAAATCTTCACCAAGCAATCTTATGTTATTAACAATCAAAGAATTCGATCGGCATACTTACTGATTGTTTCATCATCCAAACATGTTTCAACGACTCAAATCTCCCTTTTCAAGTTCAAAAACTTGCATTTGACGTGTTTCTATCACTGCCTTGGTATTCTTTCCTTCATACTGTCCCAAGCTCCTTTGCAGTTTTGCCAAGCCCTAATTCGGTAGAACACAGAATCGCTACTGAATTTTGAATAACTGAACTTGGGCTCTAGATTTCTTTGCCTTTTTCTTCACTGTTGGATTTGATTTGTGCAAGGTGGGGTTTGTTGGTAGAGCGGAATTGGTTTATCTCTGTTACCAGATTCCCAGAGATCAAAGGCTTCCAAAAAAGCTTGCTTCACTGACCAAATGTGATAATTTTGACCAGTTAAGATGATAGGCGGGTTTAAAGATTGGCTGCTGGATGCCATTTGGAGTTTTGGATTAAAAAAACTTTGGTTGTAGTTTGGTCTTGTAAGATAAACTGCTCTGATACCACTGTTAAAACAAACAACAGTAGAAAATTTACAGATTAAATCTTATGAGATTGATAGAGAATTTCAGCACGTATTTCATTGAAGAATACTGCAGAATTTATACAAGAATGGAAATAACAAACTTCCTATTTAGAAGCCACTCATAAGGTGGATAAAAACTGAATAAAAAATCTGCAACTAAGAGCTTAAGAGCTAAAAACAGCCATAAGAGCTAAAAAACAGCCACTAACTTAAGTCACTAACTCCACCATTTGATGCTGTAAAAAAAAAGAAATAACAGAAAAATATTAACAGTATGCTGGAACTGAAATGCCAGAAATCTAACAGTTTCTCATAGGCCTCTTCTGAAATAGTGTATTTCTCCACCAATGAAGTGTCTTCTAACCACCCTCCCGAGGTTATCGATGAAGGATCAAGATCTATCACATGTAGCCGATACCTTTTATCCCCAAAAACAAAAAAATCAATTCAATAAACCAAGAAAATGCATGTATACCTAAATTAAGATTAGAACCATGAACAGTTATAAACCATTGAAAAAAAAAAAAAGAAACAATAAATAAAAAAATAATATGAGAGAGATGAACCCATCAAGAGGAGAATAAAAACCAAGGGGCCTGAAATCATAGGTTAAATCAGAAATTTTGGAGTTAGTGTCATCATAGAGCTCCAAAGACATTGAATTAACTGCTGTACCACATTTCTTCCACAGCTTCTCTTTCACAGATTCCACAGTAGACTAAAGTTTTGACAGAAAAGAAATTAAATTGACAGCAAAAAGAAAAAAAATAAAATAAAACACTCATAAAGTAGCAATATTGGAAAAACCTGAAGGGAGAATCGAACACTGGCACAGAGGGTCTTGAGGTTAGAGTGAGTAACACGCAAAAGAACTGAGTCATCACCCTCTATCTGTAGTTTTGCCATTTCTTCTTTTCAAAACTTTCTTTCTCCTTTAATTGTGTATTTAATTCTCAAGTTTTCTCATTGTGTATTTAATTCTCAAGTTTTCTCATGGCCTACAAATCAAAATTCTCAAATTAGATCAAAATTTGATCGCCATTTTATATCATTGCACCTTGAAGCAATGTTTTTAGCAATAAATGAACTGAATTTGACAAAATGGCTTGATATTAATCTAGAGTTGATGGTCTGCTAGTGATCCGAAAACATAAAACCAATGCCATGAGATCAAAAAGAACATTCTCCATATATAATTACACAGACTCGGAGATAAATAGATTACCTTAGCATTGCCGCCGAGAAAGGAGTTTTACGGCCGGTGCTTTAACTTCAATAAGACGCTCCAGCAACTGAAGACTGAGAGCGAGAAAGCAAACAAAGGACTAGAATATAATCCAGTAAAAATAGAAACTTGTCTCTTCTTAGGAAAACTTTGACCCACTAAGATATACGGGCTGGGCTTTGCTGCGACGAGGATGCCATTTTTAATCAGCCGACATCAACACCTGCAACTGAGTATTGCCTAATATTTGTTTTTTCAAATATAATTTAAAATTTTATTCTCAGAGTAAATAATTTAAAATTTAAAAACTTAAAAGTATTACTATCCTGATCCTCCTATTTTGACTAAGTGAGCTACAGTGATGTTTTGAGCCCACTTTAAATTGTTTTTCAAAACTCTAATTTTAATTTAGTTTTTTTTGCATACAATTGCACTGAGTCCATAAGTTTCTGTGTCTTATGTTATTTTTTTGAGCGCATTTACATCTTAATTAAATTTTTAAAAGTGCAATTGAAGCATGTTAATACGACTGTTCAAAAAAATTTGTAGTGAAATTTATGATTAAACCAAAAAAAAAAAAAATACATGTTTTCCTACAAAAAAAGAGTACATGTACTTGACTTTTTGAATTAAGATTAGAAACAATAGAAAATAACAAAACATAGGAAAATAAAATATATGTGGAGAAGAGATAGAACTTTTTTTTTTTTTTTTTTTGGATTAGAACAATAGAAAAATAACAAACATAGGAAATAAAATATATGTGAGAAGAGATACGAACTTTTTTTTTTTTTTTTTTGGTGAAAGAGGAGAGCATAGCTTCAAGAATTACATACCAACTAGGATATCCCTATTAAAACTACTAATAATCAATGCAATAGCAGTACGCCCATTCCCCTTGCGGTTTTAGGGTTCGTAAGGATAATGGGTCCCTATAGGATAATTGTTCTAGCTAACTTTTGTTTTTTTTTTTTTTTTTTTTGGTGAAAGAGGAGAGCATAGCTCAAGAATTACATACAAATCTAGGATATCCTATACTACTAATATCATGCAATAGCCAGTACGCCATTCCTTGCGGAGGGTCCAGAAGGATATGGGTCCTATAGGATAATTTCTAGCTAACTTTGAGAGAAAATCTGCACTGAAGTTAGCCTCCCTGTGAACATGAAGAATCCTGCAACACTAGTTGTCCTGAAGTAGTTGTTTGATAGCTAGAAATAGTTGGAGTGTTCCACCCGACACCTGTGCTTGATCAGAAATGAGATGAACCACAGTGGCATTATCACACTCAATAATAAGGTTCATGATGCCCAGTTGTTTAGCTAGTTTCAATCCTTCAAAAACCGTTCATAGTTCAGTATTTGGAACAGAACATGTTCCAATTTTAGTAACAAAATCTTAAAGTCAAGTTCCCGTAGCATCCCTAATGAGCCCTCCGCCACAACCAATGCTATGGTTGACAGAACCATCTGTTTTGAGTTTATAAAAAGGCGGGGGAGGAGGAGTCCAGAAAATCCAATTTAAACTCCTTTGGCTCTTCACATTAGTACGATCGAAACATAGCAGATTTGCATTCATGGTATCACGAGCCGAAGTTAGCACATCTCTCAGTAGATTATTCACCGAAATATGTTCTTCGCTAAAAATCCACCTATTTCTTCGCAACCAGATTTTCCAGCAAGCCGTTCCAAAGGTCGTTGACCAATCTACACCAGACTCATGAAGGTCCTTGCAATGGAGATTTTTCAAGACCCAATCCTTGCTAGACATCTGCACATAAAAAAAAAATCAACTGGCATTGGTATATTTAAACCATACCATACTTGTTTGACGTAGCAGCAATCCCGCAGGACATGCAGCATTGTTTTTGGAATTCCCATAGAAAGAGAACAGTAGGGAGAGGTAGAGAGATGTCTTCTATGTCTTTGTTCATTAGTGAGGATTCTATATGCAATACAAGCCAAAGAAACACTCTAATGCGTTGAGGGCCCTTTCATCTCCAAATAGTCTTCCAAATATTATTCTTTTGGCCATCATCCATCCCTAATAACCAATTATCAGCTGATTTAATAGAAAAACGACCCGAGCTAGAAAATCTCCAGAAAAGGCTGTCGGTCCCACGATCATGTGCTGGGGGGAGAATAGATGCGATGCAAGCTAGGATTGAGGCTGGCAGATAAATACTAAACTTATTCCAATTCCACGAGCCATTGCTAGAAACATAATCTGAAACTGTATCATTTCTGATTTGCAAAGGGATATCTATTATAGCAACTTCCAAAAGGACAACACCCTCTGAAATCCATCTGTCTATCCAGAAACTGGTTTTACAGCCATCACCTATGGAATACATCAAGCGATCAGAGAACTTATTCCAAACAGAAAAAATGCCTTTCCACAGAATGGAATCTTTGGTTTTAGGGCCAGTGCAATTATTCGAATCAGGGTCAAAATTATATTTACTAATAAGAACTTGTGCCCATAAGGCTGAATTATTCATTTTGATACCCCAAGCTAGCTTCATCATAAAGGCTTCATTAAGCAAGTTTAAATTTCTGAACCCCAACCCGCCCCTTGTTTTGGGCTGAGTGATGTCTTTCCAAGACACTAGCGCTAATTTTTTATGATTACAAGTCAAGCCCCAAATAAAACTCGGACAAGATTTCTCAATATCATTGCAAATAAGAGAAGGAAGTCTTATTGTCTGCATAGCTGCAATGACAGAACTATCTCACGTAATTCTGCCCGCCATAGAAAGATGAGACGCATTCCATTCTGATAATCTCTTATAAGCATTCTCCAAGATATGAGAATATGAGTTAATAGTGGCTCGACCATGCAACAAAGGCACACCAAGATATTTACCCAGATTATCTGTAGCCTTGAAATCCAATTCCCTACTGAGGTGACTTTTAAGATTACTGGAGACATTATGAGTGGTGTGCATCTAACCGAAAATGTTCAACTTAAAATAGATGTATTTTAATTTTTTTTTGTGCATCAAAAGTTTTCAAAATAAATGATCTCTCTAATTCTCCTTGATAGAGAAATGTATTCCAATCCAATGTTTTATATACAAGGGAGCCTCTCAGCATAACAATTTATATATTCAAAGTTTAGATTCAAGACTTTTGAGTAAAAGCAAAAGAATTTCAACCACTCCATCCACACTAATATTTATTATTATTTGATATTTTATTTATTATATACTATGCAAAATTTACAGAAAATATTTAGAGACATGCTCGATTTTTTATTTGATCCTTTATTCATTTTAACTCGTATATAGGCACAAATTGAATATAAGTTTATATTTTTTTTTCATTATTGAGCATGTATTCAATGAAGAAACTCACTTTCTTGCCCATGTCTTGTTCTTTCTTTTTCTAATTTTCTTCTAATTTTTCTTTTTCGAGCAATTATCGACATCTTCTTTGATAACCGGTGGTTCGTGTTTTCTTGTTTTCTTAATTTTTTTCAATTTTTATATTCAATAAATCTATATCTTAGGTCTAGTCTCTAAGAACTATCATTATTAAGAGGTGTTAAATGATATCATCGTTGTAGATCTAGAGTATTTTTAATATCCTCTTAAACGAGTGTTGTTATATTTTCTCTCTTTTCACGGAGTTATTCATTGATATTGAGGAATTTTTATTTATGCTTATATTTTAATGTCTCGTTATTTGGCAACTCAAAATACAACATGGATGTTGATTCTTCTTTCAACTCGAGCCGTTCAATATATAAAATTAAAAATTAAAAAGTGCCGCTAGATGTCCAGCTACAATAAATAAACTTCAAAGTTTGGACCTACATACTGAGTTGCTGCTGCTTAACTAGCATAAGACGAAGTGCCACGATATTTCTTGAAGATAGAGCAGAAATCAATAATTGCTGATGCTTAAAAAAGAGACCATCATCAAGCAACAACCTGCAATCTGCATCCTCCAACCGCATCATATAAATGGAAAATTAATACTTATGAGAGATACCAATAGATTTGGACCTAACATACTGAGTTGCTGCTGCTTAACTAGCATAAGACGAAGTGCACACGATATTCTTGAAGATAGAGCAGAGAAATTCAATAATGCTGATGCTTAAAAAAGAGACCATCATCAAGCAACATACCTAGCAATCTGCCATCCTCCCACCGCATCATATAAATGGAAAATTAATAATAAACTTATGAGAAGATACAAATTTGTGGATGTATCCGTAGCATAGAAGATTAAAACCCTACCTCGTAGAAATGTTCTGTTTAAGTTAATTGAAAGTGGATTGAATGATTTACCTTTGAGGTGAATGCAAGGTACTAGGTTTAAGGAAGCTCTACAGTATAAACTTCAAAGTTTGGACCTACATACTGAGTTGCTGCTGCTTAACTAGCATAAGACGAAGTGCCACGATATTTCTTGAAGATAGAGCAGAAATCAATAATTGCTGATGCTTAAAAAAGAGACCATCATCAAGCAACAACCTGCAATCTGCATCCTCCAACCGCATCATATAAATGGAAAATTAATACTTATGAGAGATACAAATTTGTGGATGTATCCGTGCATAGAAGATTAAAACCACTGTAGATGTGCTGTTTAAGTTAATTGAAAGTGATTGAATGTATTTACCTTTGAGGTAGGATGCAAGGTCTAGGTTTAGGAGCTCTAACAGTCGGTACTTGACTAGTATTTAACTTGATAATATAGTCTTTAATTGTGAAATAGGACTTATCTTGTAGCTCAGACGGGTACTGAGCTGTGATTGCGTAATGGCTCGAATTTCAATTGACCAAGCTACTTTATTTTGATTAGTTCTCGAAGTCTCAATTTTATAGCTCGCTAAGCCAAATGTCATTGGCCAATTTAAGTTTCCTTATCCCTTTTCATTTATCAATTGAACAGAATAAACATTTAATAGAGGAAAAAAAAGAAAACAATAATTCATTTAAATTAATTAAAGTCAACTGCATCTCTTAATAATTAAAAAAAATTCCAAATCTAAAGTTAAAATTTCTTTTTTTCACCCATGAAATTTGATATAATTATAACCGTATAAAATTCATATAAACAAATACATTTACGTTGAGCTTATTTTTTTATTTTTTTATTTTTACTCAACTAGTGGGCGCAATGGATCTCATTAAATTATAAACTTTCTACCCTAAATCCCTAATTGATACAAACACATCCTTGAAAATATAGTGA